AACAGCAATTATAGGCACAGAGAAAGCCACGCCAATAGTTTTGTGCACTACAATAATTTCCAAATTATTCATTTGGTTAAAGAATAGAGACTCAAAAAGAATAGAGACTAAAGAATAGAGGTTGAGTAGAGACTCAAGGGGTTCAGTCCTTGTGTTGCCTCACACAGAGGCAAATGTGTGTGTGCAATCATCCAGTCACCCAGGCAGGTTTTTATAGAGTTGTCAAGTGTACAAGATTTTTCAGGTTAAATTGTTTTGACTTCCATCCTGAAACCTTTGTGACTATCCAACCAAACATGTCAGTAAAACAAACATTTTTTTAAACTTTGACATTTGTCTAGGAGGGCATGAATAGTGAGGCAAAAATTGGCTAGAAGTAGCCAACAAACTTAGTTTTGTGATAATTAATTCCAAAATTCATAAGATTTCAAACATTTTTCATAATAACATACAAATATGGATGTACCATCATAGCCAGTAAAAAAAAAAGCCAGCAATTGTCAGAGTTACAAAAAGAAAGGCTTTGCTGTTTTCAATGACAGTGCCTGGTCCAGGTAATTACCAAAAACGGGACCCTGAAGTTTCTCTATCCATTAAGACCCTTCAGTCTAGGTGCAGTGCCTCACAATCCCACACTGGACATGTGGTTCAAAAAACAATACAAACACAACTCTAACATCAGCACCAAGGCAAACTAATACATTTTAATACATGCATAGACAGCAGAGTTAAAATGTATGAGCCAACTTTGCCAGAGTTATAGCCACATAAAATATGCACATAAGTAAGGGAAGTGCATCAGTTTGTCAACAGACATTTCTGATCACTTTCAGACCTGCATAGTTGTACTGCTGCCTTTATGTACAACAAGCTGACAACACGACACACTCAAATAAAACACTTTTGTTGAAACTGTCATCCAATAGATAGAGAATGTCACACACAGTGTATGTGAAAAGACAATACTCAGTCACAGATCTATAATGCGGTTTCTCCAGTCTGTGGTGTTTTGCTTAAATGAACATTCCTAAATCCTTAATGACTCACATCTCTTAGCATTCAGTACAATAGCGTACAACCCTCTCTTCATGTCCCCAGCTGCACACGTGTTCTATACCTCAGGACATGTACTGCATTTTCCCACTAAACCCTAAAGGTGTGTTCATGGGGTCATGAGGTCATTAAGGAATGACAGTACATAATTAAATAACAATAACACACAAAGCATAAAAATGCCAATGGATTTAGATAAATGCATTAAAAGGCTGAGATTGCTGATGGAGTTACGCAGTTGCCGCTCCAATAAATCACAACAGAAACAATTTCACATAAATTAAAACAAAATAAATAAATCCAAATACTCACAGCCAGAGCCTTTGAGAGCCTTGTACGGAAATCATTGAGAACTATTGTGACAATGTCCTGATGGGGAATGTAAACGTATCCTGCTTTAAGGTACACTTTTCTGGTTCTGACTAAATCCAAAGCATCTTGAAATGGAACCTGTAATAAGAATTGGTCAAATATCAGAGCAGTTCAATAACTTTTTGATTTTTGATTCCTGTCAGTCACTCTGTAAAGACAGTTAGTATTTACAGCTATCTGCATCTCAAGGAGAAAACCTGAGTTTATATTCTGTACAAAAATTACAAATGCATTTTACAAACAGTTGCAGATTGAATTAAAAGAATACATCACACTGAACAGGAGAGGAATAACTACTGTTGTCAGACAAGGAAACCAAACTCACTTTATAGAAGTCGTGCTCCTCCACCTTAATCCCGCTGACAGCATAACTAGAGTTGATGAGTTTATCCCGCAAAATATCCTTCTCCTTCACACTAATCTGAAAAGTTATTGACAATGGATTCTAGTTAAAAGACAATGAGTTAAAAGACTTCAATTTTTAGGTACTTTTCATGACAATTAACATTTATACTTGATTTATTTGTGTATCATAAAATAATATAATGCATTTATTAGTCAATGTAATTTTATTTAAACTGTTGAATTACTTTTATTTCTAAAATGAAGTATCCAGCTTTAACTTCTGGTAAAGAGCACCATCTAGTGAAATACATAAGCTAAATCTATGACCTCTTA